TCCCCCCCAAATTTGAGTCTGCCAGTGATGATTTCGTCCGAAATGTTGCTTTCAGGTCACGGAACACACTTTCCTACATAATTATGTTTGGCTGCCCTGGGCAGAAGGTCCAGTGGTGGATGGCATCGTCGCTGACTTGACTCTATAGGCCTTTACCCACTTGTTCCTGGGCCAGAGGTGGCCAGCTCCGGTCTGCAGTCCCACGTTGCCTTGTCACCCGTGGTTGTATGGCCTGTGAGTGAAGAATGACTTTTATTACTTTTTTTTTTTTTCCTGGCAGAATTGGGGATTGAACTCAAGCCCTTGCACTTGCCTGGCAAGTGCTTATTCTACTAAGCCATCTCCCCAGCCTTGACTTTTATTACTTTTAAGTGGTTGAAGCAATCAAGAGAAGAATATTTCCTGACACAGGAAAATTACATGAAATTTAGATTTCAGTATCCTTAAACTTCACTAGGACAGGGCCATGACATAGCACACATGTACCTTGTCCAGGACTGCCTTTGAGTTAAGCGGCTATGCAGAATAGTTGTGACAGAGTGGCCAGAGGTCTGTCAGATACCTACTATCTGAGAAAGTTTGCTAACCCTGCCTTGAACAAATAAAGGGGGACAATCTCTGCTTGCCTGTCCATGAAGTGCTGGGCAGCCTCCTGCGGCTAAAGCAAGAGAGGGAAGGGCCTGGCAGTTTTGCCATCACCACATCACTGTAAATCATCAGTCTTTTGAGTCCTGCTTGTTTAAAAGTTTCCACAGAGCCCTCAGTAGTGGCCATAAGGTTGCTCCTGGCCAATTCAGGGGCAGTAGGAACCTTGTGGGGGTAGGTTCTGTCTGGGCCGCCCAGGAAGGGGCTGCTACCGCTGTTTCTGGAAGGAGTTTTCAGGTTGGGAAGATCTTCCTTGCCTCTCCTGTTATTGGGGATAGGTGGAGGAAGAGGGGAAGTTAGAGATGCTCACTTACTTCATGTTGTTGACAAGTCAACAGGCTTCTCACCTGCTCTGATTCCTTCCAGCCCCACAGTGTTGCATGTATCAAGATTTTGCCCACAGGTCCACAGCTTAACTTAAGCTCCCCACGACATATCATAAACTACGATTTGGAGGAAACCCCTAATGGGCTGTGATCAGAATGTTATTATTAAACAAAGGATGAAATGCTTAAGCCGGGATGGCCGTAGTATTATTTTTCACTAAATGAAAGCCGAGTAGACTCCATTTCAACAGTTTTCAGTGTAAGAATTCCCACAGCCCCATTTGATTGCCGTTTGTTGAAAAGCTTAATGTTTCTGTAGGCAATTCATAATTTCCATGTTGAGCAGCCTAAGAGGAAGAGAGCTGGAGCCCAGTGTTGTTTTTATAGTGTGATGGTGGGAACTTCCCCCCTCCTTTCCCAAAAACACATAAAATTGAAGTTGAACCGTCAGGAAAATGTGGCACGGTGTTCCAACCTTCTTTGCAAATCTGAGATGCCTCCTTTGTCAAGTCTTCCTTTAGGACCCGACAGAATAAGATTTCCTGCTGCTTAATGTCTCCAGGAAGGAAGAGATTTTCCTTGAGGCTGTAATAGTACCTAATTTCCTTTTTTCTTTCTTTTATTTATTTTCCCTATTAATAAGGACCAATTGTCGAAAGTGAAGCAGACTGGGAAGCCCATCACTTCTGGAGGAGGTTAATAGCTTCCTTTCTAGAATCCTGACATACTACTTACTTCCTCATGAGGAACTTTGGCAGTCTGAATGCCAATTAAGATTCAAGGAATGGGCATGGGTTTGTGGGTGCCCAGCTGCTCTGTGGCATCAGGTTGCACTGGGAAAGGACGTTGGAGTGTGTCACTGTGGAGCCTCTGCAAGTCGGCGGGAGCGGGCTGTCTTCCTGCACCATCTGGATTCGGTTAGCGCTCTCTGGGCAGCAGGGCCGAATCTCATTTCCTCCAACCAGTAATGTTATATAGGCAGTGATCCTGGGCTGCCCTAACATAATTGAAAATTATGTGTATTGTAGGCTCTGAGCACTGAAACGTAGGCCATAAAAATATGTGGTGCAGGTAGCCTATGGAGATTGGATACTCCATACAATGAAGCTTTTATGTAAAGTTAAGAATTAGGAGTCTCCATGCTAATCCTGTGCTATAGGTAGGACAGCTTTTGGGTGGGGTCCTCAGGGCAGGTCTGTCACTGTAAACCAACCCTCAGTTTCCTAATTCTATAGAGATGGTATTAGGGTACAGTTAGGTCAGTTTTGCAGATAGCTCAAGATGAGAATTTGCCCATTCATCTGACCCTCATGTGGAGAGTGGCAGGAGGTGTGGGGTGTCTATTCCTCTGGGCACTTTTGTTCCTGGGTTTTTGTGGGTGGAAGAGGTCAGTGTTGGAGGAAGGCCATCTTGTTGGCCTCAAGGAAATGACTCTATTGAGTGGTTTTGACCAATACAGCCTGTATATTTATGTGACAATTGAGAATGGGAAAAAGTTGAGGTGAGACAGGGCAGGACACATTCCCAAAGCCCTCTGGCTTGTTTACAAGGCTGCAGATGACTTATTTTGGAGACATTTAGTTCAGTGGTTCTCAGCTTGAGATGATACTGATGTTTGGAAATGGCATGATTATGATAGCAAAATTGCAGGACTCTCGAATTCTGGAAGTCCTTCAGTGTTTGGGGCAGACCTGTACTCAGGCCCTGTCATAGATGAGATAACCCATGCACTGCATAGGTGAAAGCTAGAGGTGTGCAGAAGAAAGGAATTTGGTGTGAATTGTGTGGAGTTACCCACAGACCTAGGACTAGTAACCAGAATGCTCCTCCACAGGAGGCTTCACTGAAAACTCTGAAGTCAAAGAAGAAGCACCTACGTTGTATAGATCCAGTTGGGGAAGTTGACCATGCACTTGGGCTAGCAGCTTCCGTGTTGGGGATAATCAAGCTTGGTTGAACTCACCAGATCCTCTGTACGGAAACAGGCATTGGTGTGTGGATGGCTCGGTGCCTTCTGTGTCTGACGGGGATCGTGCGTACTCTTTTCTGACGTGCCCAGCTTATGCTGCGCAGCCTCCCCCAGTCTCCTCTCGGGAACTCCACCTTCCTTCTGAGCATTGTCTGGATATAGCTTCCTCATACTCTCTCTTGACCTCCTTTGTGTGCTTCGACTGCTTCAGACTTGCCTGGGCCTCCTGAGGGCGGAGCTCTTGTGGATTTCCACAGCGCCTAGCAAGGAGGGTGGACACAAGGCAGGCATGCACTGGTGCTCACTGACTGACATTGCTGTGGAGTGAATGTTCGCTTTGGGCCTTCGAAATGCTCAGGGCGGTTCCTTCCATGCTGTTGATGCGTAACTCAGTTGGCCTTTGGAATAAGGGCTCTGGCGTTGGTGTCCTTACAGGTGGTGTGCCCAAGTCCTGTTTGGTTGTCTGCAGTTTTCTTGAGTGAAACTGTTGTTACCAGCAAAAGCGAAATTTCTTACACTACATATTGCTGCGGCCATCTCACCTCAGTTTATCTGTCTGCACAGCAACTTCAGGTCCCCGTGCCAGCTGATCACTTTTGACAGAAGTAGCTTGCAGGGCATGCTCATTTCCAACCTCAGAACAAGCAGGGGCAGCAGAGTGTTAAGTTTATTTATTACTTTTTTTTCCCTCTTTTCAAAAAACATTAGAAATGACACAGAATTTTAAAAAATTCTTAAAATTCTGAGTATGTATCTATGTCTCTGTGTCTATGTGTCTATTTATCCTATCGATTGGCCTATCCATCTGTCTACCTACCTACCTATCCATCTATCTGGTACAGGGGCTTGCTATGCAGTTTAGACTCTTAGTGATCCTCCTGTTTCAGCTTCACCAGCACTGAGATTACAGGCATGCGCTTTGGGGCCAGCACAGCGCTCCCGGGGTTCTGGAGTTAGCACAGCGTGCAGTACTGGGGATTGAACCCTGGTCCTTGGGTTTGCCAGGCAGGTACTTAAGACCGCCAAGTCATCTCCCCAGCTGCGACACAGAATTTCACTAAACAAAATGATAGGAATTCAAGAGTGGTTGTTATGTTGCACATTGTTGTCTTCAAATTAGTTATTCATATTACCAGATAAAAGCATATGAAATTGGTCCAAATAATTATAAAGAGAGAAAAATTAAGCATTAACTCCTCCTTTCAATAGACCAGCAGAAATCAGGAGTGCAATTATCGAAACTATCCTGTGTGTATACATATGTATTTCTTTTTCCTTTCCTTCTTTCTTTTTTTTTTTTTTTAATTTCAATTTTTTTATTTTTTTGCGGAACTGGGGATTGAACTCAGGCCCTTGCACTTGCCAGGGAAGTGCTTATTCTACTGAGCCACCTCCCCGGCCCCTCCCTTCCTTCTTTCTGTTTTCCTTTCCCCATCCCAATGGTGTGGTTCTGTCTTTGGTAATATTTAAGACCTTGTTTTAGTTTTTCAAAATGAATCAAGTTTATCCACTGTGTTATCCCTGGGCAGGCATCTGTTGCCAAGGCCTGCTTGCATCTTGTAAGTGTCGAGATTGGTGGAGAATTCTGCGCTTGCCTTATCGGAGCAGCCTTTATCTAGTGAGTTGCGGTCCAACTTTATAGTGAAGGGTGGTGACACTTGAAAAATGAAGGCCCTCGAGGCAGACTTGGAGCTGGTGGTCTCCTGGGACACCAGTGGCCTGAGATTTGTGCTTGCTTTTGTCCCTTGGGGTCAGCTCTGTATTTTCACTTTCCTTTCCCCTCTGCCCCCCTCCATTCCCCTCTGACTAGTGTAGTATTAATGAAACTTTTATCTAAAGCCAAACCTGTAGTTTAATTGCAAAGACAAAATGACAATTGCTAGTATGTTAGCAGGCTGCATTTGAACTTGAGCTTCAGGGAGCCACTTACTGATACTGCATGCTTTTCTTTTGTTATTGTTTGCATGCTTTGATGTCTTTTGGTGTTCTACTCACGCGAGTTGCTTTCTCAGCGTGCGCTTCGTGACTTGTTGCTAAAGTGGCTATCTCTGGTTTTCCAGTATCTCCAGATGAAATGGCCGCTGCTCGATGTCCAGGCAGGGAGCCTCCAGAGCAGACAAGCCCTCAAGGACGCCCGCTCGCCGTCGCCCGCGCACATTGTTGTAAGTAGCCTCCTAAAGCCAGCGGCCTGGTAGCTGGGCACGGACGAGGACGCGCTCTGCCGCTGCTGTCAGGGTCATGTGCCAGTGCTTCTTTAACATTTAAAAATGCTCTTGAATATGGCTTATATCTCTGAGTTACTCATTTTATGTGATGGGATCTTTAGTGATTGAAACATTCCTGGAAAATTTTCGAGTCTTCCCTCCGTCCTTTTCTCCATGTATTGGGTTAGAATCCAGCCTCATGGCTCATTACCAGGACACAGTCACTCAGGTGCAGGTAGGGCAGGGGAATTAGGGGAGTGTGCCCCTTTCTCCTCTATCTGTGTAGTGTTTGTAAAGTAATGCTCTGTACTAGCACTCGAAAGTTTCATCTGGGCTGGTTGATTGTAAGCCTAGAGTGGAAATGAACTTAGGCTAAAATTAAATTTACTCTGTATGTCTATAGATCTGAACACATAGGGGTTGACGAGGCATTTGTTTTTAGTCTTAGAACAGTACCACATAGAGTGCATGTCTCCATATATTTTTAATGCATTTTCTTAGGATTTTGTAGGCTCTAAAAGTTTATAAATTAACCTCTTGAGAAGATAGCTCAGCCTTATTAGAATATTTTTTCCTTTCTATATATCTGGATCATGAACTGGACTTCATACTTATGAAATAATTAATGAAGGACATATTTTTATAATGAATCTATGACAGGTAGAATTATGCAAAGCATGAAACAATTCGTGTATTTTTTGTTTAAGTATCACAAAATATTAGGCTCTATATTACTTGTAATTTCTAAAAATTATAAAATAGTTAACTAGAAAAATCTTAAGATGTATTGTGTCACATTTCAGGCTACCTCCTTATTTGTAGTTTGTCGTAATTGAGTATACATTATTTAATGAGTTATGCCTGTATTGTCTGTGTGCATATCACAAAATAATTTATTTCTGTAAAATCACATTTTGAGTCACGACTTGTGAAGATGCCTTCACTTCTCGTGGTGTAAACAAGGCATGTGGGAGGAAAGCCTGCCCTTGCTAGAAGCTTCCTCTTTCCCCAGCTCCACAATCAAATGGATGTTCACAATCACGTATGCTTTTGTAATGTCAGGGTTTCAGGGCTGGGGGTGATCTTTGATTATTTTAGGCCCAACCTTATCTCAGAAAAGGAAACTGCAACCCAGAGATGCCTTAAGTGAATTGCCCAACGTCACATGACAACTTAGTAGCCAGAGCAGTGGAAGATCCAGGACCTTCTGGCTTGTTCTCTCCTCCGGAGGCGAAAGTGACTTTCTGTGGCTGGCTCTGCTCTGCCCACTGTCAGCAGGATCATCACCAGGGTCAGTGACAAAAGTGTGGTGTTGCCAATTTAGGTCTTGATGTGGGTTTCTCCTAGAAGATGAAAACATCTTAACCATACAAGGGTTGAAAAGCAGTTGTGACAGTGTCGGATCCTACAGGTGAAAGGAGGTAGCCGATGCATTTCATTTTCTTGCCTCCATGAATTTTCCAGGGTGGGCTCAGGCACTGAAGTTCATTTCTCTGCTTCTGGAAATGCTTGATGGAACTTTCCCACATTTTTTAGCTATAGAAAAAAGGATGTTATCTTTAAAATCTCTGGGAGGCCTTTTCTAAACACTTTTGAGTGTGGGGAGGAGACCCAGATTGTAGGGGTGCTTCAGAGCGGACAGAGCCCTTTATGGTTGGAGCAGAGGCCCCACGGGCAGGCACAGGGAGCCCTCCAGCTGGACAGAGAGTGTGACTGCCCTCAAACCCATGTGAGGAGTTGCCACAAAAGACATCCTGAGCGTCTTACTTTCTCATGTGGAAAGAAATGAGCTGGAGGAGCTGGTAAAACATTCTTTCCAGAGCCAGTGTGGACTTTGGCAAGGGGGACAGAGTGGGGACTCAGATTCTCTTTTCCTCTGATGTTTAGTAGAAGGCACATTTACCGTAGCAAGCGTTTTGGAGCTCCCGCATCACCTTTGGGATGGGGGCCTTTGACTGAAGAAGCCACAGCCTGTAGCTGTCATATGATCTTGTCTCCTTCTTCCTTTGCCCTTGGGGACCAGGGGATTAGCTGGTGCCTGGAGATTAGGGCTGGTGGAGGAGTATGAGGAAAAGGGTGTGATCCGCCTGGTGGAGGAGGGAGGGAGGGAGGGAGGAGTTGAGAGAAGAGAGAAGCCATAGATTCTGGAAATGCTTAGTACTTGTTGAATCAGTGAGTAGTGACACTTCTTTGGTAATAGAAACTAATCAGCTCTACCCTGTGTGTTTCTTCAGCCTTCACCTGGCACCGAGGGGGAGAAGAGGAGGGGCTGCTAGGGAGGGTAACGTAGGATAGAAGAGAAGCTCGGCTCTTATCCATCTGGTCACCCGTAGTTTCAGGGATTGAGCTTTCATGTACCTGGCGACCACAGGTTAATAGTTCCCTTTCCACTAGACGTAGGGCAGCGTGACAACCAAGAACAGCCAGTCTTTGGTGAGTACGAAGTGTCTGTGTTTGCAAAGGGAGCTTCCTGAAGTGTGGCTCCAGCGTCGCTGGGGTCCTTGATTGGTTTTCCCCTGCATAGGAGTCTGGTTCATGCTCAGGCCTGGTCCTAAGCGACCTCCTCCAAAGTGTCCCCCTGCTCCAGACACTTGGGCCTGCTCCTCACGCTGTTCTTTTTTCTTCATTCTTGTTCAATAAAACATCATCCTACCATAGAATCTCACCAGACATGTTTCAAAATAATCAGCAAAGGATTGCTTCCTAATTTCTCTGAAATTTGGATTTATTGTAACTTTTGGGCCAAGCTATTTCATAATTATTTCTAGTGTTTCGCTTTGGAAATAGAGAAGTGCTCCGGGTTTGTTAGTAACTGTTAGAGACTGTAATTTCCACTGATTGCTAAGAGAATAACTTCTCTCCAGTAGCCATTTGGGGCAGAATCTTCACATGGGAATTTAAAGTATTTTGTCAGGATATGTTAATCTAATTGGATTTTTTGTGTAGTGTGTGGGTTTCTACATTATAAAAATTTGATATATACAATAAATGTTGAGCTCAATTATTTATTCATGTAATTAGCGATGCAGAGTTTGGAGCCAGGGCCTTATGTATGCTAGGCAGGTACTGTACCCCTGAGCTATGCAATCAGTCCTACCTGGGAATGTTTAAGTTGAGAAACTCCATATATTTGGTTCCTATAGCAGCTACAACGTTCTCTTGTGTTCCTGTGACATATTCTGGTGACTCGTAATGCAATTGAGAGGAGAGAGGAAGCTGACCCAGAGATGATGTCTTCATTGGCCAAAAAATGAGCATGCATACCAGGAATTGGTTTTCTGCTCCCCGCTGCCCCTCCTCCGCTTTTCTCTCGCCTACCCCAAGTCACTGACTTCTTAAAAGTCCCAAAGGCACTAGACACACGTGCCCAGAGCCTCTTCCTCCAGCAGTGTTTTCTAGTTCTTATTCTCAGCTTTTGCTTGTTCTGTGGCATTTTGGAAAACTTGGGGAAACTTGTGTTTTCAATCCCACGTTCTTTTCTCCCGGTCCCAGAATGAGGGCTCATGCTGGGTTGCACGAGGGCCGGTGTTCCTACATGGCCTGGCCGACCTGCCTCCGGTGGCTGGGGAGCTGTGGGTTCAGAGCTGCTCCCTGCACACCACCCCTGGTGTCTTTGCTGTACAAACACTTTCATTTAACTTCCTTTGTACCTAGCAAAAAGATTCTAGACCCAAAATGATGGTATGTTGGTCTAGTGTGTATCTCAGAAACCAGCAAAAGGCTTCAAAAGTTTTTACAATTTTGTCTTGGGGGTTTCTTTTTGAAGTCGCTGTGGAATTTTACCTTGGGGTGGATTTCTGGTGTTTCTCAGTCTTGTGTGTTTTGTTGTGTAATGAGCTTCCAAGTGTGGGGTGAGAAAGCTGACTGAATCCCAAGGAAGAAAGCCTGTCAGACGGAGGTGGGTACAATTTTTTGTTGTTGTTCTTGCTTAAATGTTGAGAGGAAGCAGGCAGCTTATGAAATATAGCACGATGCGTAGGACTTCAGACAGGGCCTCTGCTGTCTGCACAGGGCACTTTCAATAAGCTCAGGGCATGAAGAGCCTTTCGTTTGTGTTTCTAAAGAGCGAGGAGAGGCTGCTCATAATTAATTATGAAGCTACCTTGACAACATCCTCTTTGCTGTTAAATGCATGCAGTGTTTCGATGGGTTATTTGACCCACGTTGTATGTTCCGCCTGCCCTGGTGGACATTTGCTGGGGCCTGCAAGCCGTGATAGCCCTTACCTGGGTGGGCACCATGTCTCATGCCATGCAGGGGTGTAAGGCCCATGAGTGTGCGACCTGGGAGACCCGGATGTGGCTGAGATTATGGACTTGGATGGCTCCATGAGGAAATGATAATTAGGCGAGGATGGTGTATAGTCATTGGGTACATATGAAAATAAGGAATAATGTAATATTCTATGCATAGTAGAGTGACCGATGACAGTCAGCAGTTGTTTCAAGATTGCAAGTAGAGAGAATGTTGAATGTTCCAAACACAAAGAAATGATAAACATTTGAGGTGATAGATATGCCTGTTATTCTGATCTAAGTCTTGCACAATTATTGTGTCAATAAAATTAAATGTACTGACATGGAATTTGAGGGAGCTGTTCACTGGAATATGTCAGGGAAGAAAGGGAGGCCTTTCTATACTGAGGGGAAGGCTGTGAAGGTCCTCAGGGACTTGATGAATCTGAGACAAGCAGCCAGGTGGGATACGCTGGTGCTAGCCATGGGAAGCCATGGTGTCCCATTTTGTGTGCGGATGGTAGACATAGACAGCTTTGGGGAAACAGCAGCAGATTTTTCTGATACTTTGAGATGCTGACCTCGAGGCAAAAGGGTAGATAGCTAGAGTGCTGTTCATCGAGTGAGAAACATTGGAAGTAGAACAGGGTTGGGGTAGGGGCGCTGTCTTTTCAGAGATTGAGCTTGCACTGATCCAGTCCCGGATTGAATCATCAATCTTAC